GAGATCCGGAAATACAAGAAAAGATTCAACTCAGAGATTTTGTGTGCCGCTCTTTGGGGTGAGGACCGTGTATCTTCAGTAATTTGCAGTATTTATTTTTAATTCCTCCAGAAGTAGTTGTTTCCTCTGTTCAATGATTTATTGGGCTGTGGCAAATGTCAGTCAATGGAGTTTTAGTTGATAATTTTCATTAATCAAATTATTTTATTGGGATTACAAGGATTTATGTGAACTGTGTCAAAATGAAGACATGTTGTAAATTCTCTATATATTTGGGATTGAATCATCAAGACTAGTGTGTATAGTTGTTATTGTATCTTGTGAGTGCTGTATGGATCAGATGCATGCTCTGAGGAGAGGCATTCTAAATAGTTTAGAGAGTTCACTTTAGTCCACTAATCGACCCACAGCTATTTTTTTTTTTGTCTTTTGCAGCCCTAGTGATGTAGATGTGTGTGTTTTCAGGGGTGAACCTGCTGGTTGGCACAGAAAATGGGCTGAAGCTGTTGGACCGTAGTGGACAGGGCAAAGTTTATCCTCTAATCAACTCCCGCAGGTTCCAGCAGATGGATGTCCTGGAGGGTCTCAACCTGCTCATCACTATATCAGGTCTTTTACATTTGACCATGTCGCTACAAATATTTCAGTTGTTTTATTTTGGTAGTAAATTAGATTGGGATGCGCTGAAAAAAAAAAAAAAAAAAAAGTTTATAGTGGCAATTTTATTTTTTTTCTAAGCAGCCTATGTGTCATGTGTCATTTCCAGAAAATACAACAATTTATAATTTGAAAAAACTAAATAACTAATTTGTGACCTTTAGGATTTATCTGTTGTAGTGAAGTTATACTAAAGTGGGGATATTGACATCAGAAGATATTTGTTATGGGCTGAAATAAATACATATTAGACTGTCAGCAATTTTAGGCTACTAAATATAAATAAATGTGTCATCTATATTGTGTTTTTAAGGCAAGAAGAACAAAGTTCGTGTGTACTACCTGGCCTGGCTGAGGAATAAGATCCTACACAATGATCCTGAGGTTGAGAAGAAACAAGGTTGGACCACAGTGGGCGAGATGGAGGGTTGTGTGCACTACAAAGTTGGTGAGTTCTAGTTACTTATTTAATTTTCTGTACATCTCTTTAAGCTTGTCTGGTTTGTAAATATTTGATTTTGTGGTGATTCTTTTTAGTGAAATATGAGAGGATAAAATTCCTGGTAATTGCTTTGAAGAATGCAGTAGAGGTATATGCTTGGGCTCCAAAGCCTTATCACAAATTCATGGCCTTCAAGGTGAGCTTTTCTCTGTTGGATTGACATTCATAATAATGGTTTTCTTGTAGTTTAAACCTGGATTTCTTGTGTGGTTCAGTCTTTTTCAGACCTGCCCCATCGACCGCTCCTCGTGGATCTGACTGTAGAGGAGGGTCAGAGGCTTAAAGTCATTTACGGCTCTTGTGCTGGTTTCCATGCCATTGATGTAGACTCTGGAAACAACTATGACATTTATATCCCTGTCCATGTATGCTTTTCAGAAACTCTTTTTCATGATACAACTGTTTTTAAACATACAATATAATCAAAATTTATGTAAATTAACACACATAATTGTTGCCATAGATTCAGAGCCAAGTAACCCCACATGCCATCGTGTTCCTGCCTAGCTCTGATGGGATGGAGATGTTACTGTGTTACGAGGATGAAGGGGTGTATGTGAACACTTATGGACGCATCATCAAGGATGTGGTCCTGCAGTGGGGGGAAATGCCCACCTCTGTTGGTATGAAAAAAATAAAGTTGTGCAACAGAATCAACCAAATCTTTTGTGGTCATCTTTCAAAATACTAATGTTAGATTTTATTGCAGCCCACATCTGCTCAAATCAGATCATGGGATGGGGAGAGAAGGCCATAGAGATTCGGTCTGTGGAGACTGGCCACCTGGATGGAGTGTTTATGCACAAAAGGGCTCAGAGGCTCAAGTTCCTCTGTGAAAGGAATGACAAGGTACGTGAACAACAGTCTCTTTGTTTATATCTATCACAACACAGTAGCTGAACTTAGTACTGCAGTGTAGTTGAAAATATACTATAGTATAGTAAGTAGTAATTGTTTCAAACTGTGTTGCACCGTAATAGACATATCTATGTTTTAGGTGTTCTTTGCGTCTGTGCGGTCTGGAGGCAGCAGTCAGGTGTACTTCATGACACTGAACAGGAACTGCATCATGAACTGGTGAAAGCGCATCTGTTGGTCAGTGAACACAGCAGGTTTTTGGCACCTAAAACTTCTGCTAGCGCATGCACACAAATCATCATTTTCTTCAACTGGTTTTATCTACAGATTCTTACATTCACAACAGGCACTACAATCTGTAAATCCATTCCAGGCTACAGTCCTTAAAGTACTGTTTATACCAACATGCTGACAACAACATTGTGAAAACTTACCAATGGTCTACAAACGTTAAAACCTACTTTTATTGTGTATATTTTTGTCTTTACTTTAAATGGTAAAAATGTGTTCAGTCGTAACTATTACGTTCCTGTGAATTTGTTAATCATTCCTGGTGGTTGTGTACTTTTGAAGAAGGCATTAATATCTAAACATCTGTAAATATAAAGCAGCTCATTCATGGTAGTTACATGCCTTCACGCCACAGTGTGGATGTGGCATCATGACCCCGTCTGCATTGGCAACATTTGACCTATCACTTTAAGTCAGCAGATACTTTAAATTACATAGTTTTTCTTGTCCTAATATTGAGATTTCTGTTCTAAAATGTTTTTCTTCATTTTTCCGATCTCAAGGGCTTGCTCCTAATTACAAGTGAAGCCTATAATAAATAAATACAACACACTAGTTCAGTACTGTAGTGAGTGCTGTGAATCCTTGAATTGCCTTGATTTGAAAGTATCTATAGATGATGTGACAAAGCAGATAGTTTCCTAAGGTTATTGTTTTCTACATAGAAACTTCTATATCCATGTGGTGATTTTTAAATAGTGTACGCCTGCATTGCTATTATATTGCAATATATTCTTGGTGAGTTTAAGTTTCAGAGAGGACTAAATTCTAAACACTGTTGTGTTGGACAATTTGATGGAGAGACTTCTGAGTGATGGGTATTTGAATCTGTTTCAATCATATTTTCCAAACTTAAACTAGTCTCCACTGTAAGATAGTTTTACTAGACTTTTTGTTGTTTGAGTGTGAGGATGTTGAGAGAAACAGATGGTTTATCTTTGTCTTGATCAAACACTACACATAGCCCTGTAGTGTCACTGCAAACCAGCAGACTCATGAGGCACTACATGTTTTAAAAAAAATGGAAGATATACTTTCTGCTTAAGTTACTTTTTAATCTCAAGGCCCAAGCTTATCTAGTATTTGGAGATTTTGTACAATTATTTGACAAAATTAGTATTTTGCAGCAGATTTGAATATAGACTATTATCTCTATTTCTTTGGACAAAAAGTCTTGGGTAGTTCAGTGACAGCTGAATTTGTGGTCACCTTGGATACAGACTATATAGCCAAGCCTAAAATTTATTAAACTAAGAATATACTATATTTTATGTAATGTAAGTAAATAGCTGAGAGGAAGATGGATACTTTATTTTAAGATTAGTCATAAATATTATATAGACATTGATAGCACTTTGACTTCTTACATTTACAAAAACAACTGCAGCCTGGAGCATATACTAAAGGGTGCATGCAGGCTGATCCAGCGTTAACGTATTACTTGGTGTACATGTTTTTGAACCAAATATCTGTGCCATGACCTACATCTTAAATTCACTACAACTCACTTGGAGCTCTGGTAGTCATGCTTTTATGGTCATTTTATTAATCAGCCATGTTTACAGTTTAAGCAGTGCCTTGAATAGATGGTTTGAAGATTAGCTATAGGCCCCACCCAGTATAGTACTAGTATAAAGAGGTGTGTTTAAAACTGCTTTTATTATCAAAATAACATGTGCCAGTTAAGTGCACTTAATCAAACCTCAAGAAACAATTGACATCCCTTGCCAATTTAAACGTAGAGTTGTAGAAACATGCAATAAAAATAATGAATTGTTTTGTCTTACATAGAAGGGTCTAGTAGTGATGGCTGAAGCCAGCACAAGGAAAAGCCATATAGATCAATCATGCCTATCAATTCAGTCTTAGTACATGCACAGGTTAAAGCAAAAGATGTTAGTAGTTGGAAAAAGTAGCTTGATATATTTTATAAACTATGTAAAACTCTATATTAATATTGTAAGTGAATGTACCTGTATTTTATTTGTATTTGCATATAACTACTCTGTTAATTAAAGCACAATGTATTTTGATGCAGCAAGATCAAGGTCACAATGTGAAGCTTTTTGTTCCCCCAAATGTCGAATCCATAGAGTTTACGTACGGTATTAAGGAAGACCATGATCTGACAGTGTTTCTCAATGAAGTTGTAATGTACATGGTGACCATGGTAACCATACAACCACACAGTGTGTTATTCTGCAAAATCCCTGTCAGGGGAGTTGTGATATGATTCAGATGCTATTACCTACTCATTGATCAGCATTAATCAGCAGCTGCTGGTCACCTATAAGATGATAAAGGGCAATTTTCTTTGAATTTTAATTTAATTTTTTTTTTTGTAGATGCATGTATTCTCTAAACCTGCTCTGTAAATTAAACTTTTAATATTGGCATTTTAAATTAGTTTTTCTTTATTTGGCATCATGGATAGGACCCATGTATTTTATGTTTCAGAAAATCTGTTTTGAATATTATATCTCACTGAAGATATTCAGAGCTAAATGCTGTACCAAATGATGCCTCGTGTAAACATGAAGAGTAGTATCTGTGCTATATGTAGAGTAGATGCTAAATCTCTGAACCAAATAAGTAATATATTATATTTGGCAGGTGGTAGAACATATATTATATTTCATTATAATAAGTGAGTGCTCAGGCAGGTGATATGAGTTTGATTCATCTGATACTATGGCTAAGTATCTGAACAGTACGCAAGAACAACACTTCACGGGGTGAAGATGTGAAGTCAGAAATTTTTAAAAAGCAATACATTATTTTAAGTATATTAAAACCATGACTGCCCATCTTAGTGACTTGTACAGTTAAAGTGTAGTGGTTTTTGGCAGAATGAATGTAGACTGGTCTGTCTATTGCTTCTTTCCCTGTAAGCTGTTGATCACAACTAGTTTAGTTTGCTTTAATGCAGTGTTTCTCAAACTGGTACACGTCTGCCTTTAGTAATATGCAGAGCCCTCTGCTGTTTTTAGTATTTAATTTAGGGACAAATCTGTTCTTTTTAAATTATTATTTAAAACTACCTTAACTATTCCATTGTTGAGTCTAATTTTAAACCTTACTTGATGTAATTTTGGACTATGTTTAGCCCTAATTTTGGTCTGACATATTCTGGGTTTAGGTCTGGTAGTGCTTGGAAAGCCAAATATCATCTTGGATGGTAAGTTTGAGAACCACTGCTTAAATGATAAACTGATTAAAATGTTTCACTTAAACATCTAATCAAAGAATGAAGTCATCGGCCTGTTAACGGCTGTTGCTTGCACATAATTCTCCAGACAAAGTTATCCTGTTTAGCAGATACATTTTTAAAGACGTCTTTGCAATGTTTTAGTGTGTGCGAGGGTGTCTGTGTTAATTGTGAGAGGTGCAATCCAGATTGTATTTCATAGACTAATAAACTTTTAAAAACTGTTGAATGAATCCTTGTCATAATACTTTGAAAAAATAAAATAAAATATATTGATCATGCTTCCATTTCCGATATTTTTTATTTATTTATTAAGTGATCATCTCCATAATCATTTGGGGTTATAAATGTTATTTGTTTCTTCTCCCAGCGTTTAGGTTGGTTCTAGGATTTAATATCATTTCCCAGCACAAAACTAGCACACCATCATGACTTAACCTAAAATTTGGTTTGTTCAAAACGGCCGAAAACCCTGACCCTAAATAAGTTGTAAATATCTGTAATCACAAATGATGGCGCTATATATATTTCTCAATAACATTTGGTTTAGTTTGACAAATGTGTTTTAATCATAGCCTATATATTGCTATATTAATATTCCTAAGATGTGCCATTTTGTAAATTGTCTAAATGCAATTCTAGTAAATTCAGCTTTCAATCATCTAAAGGGATTCAGGTGAAGTTATTTTTTGAGGGTATGCATGAATGCTACAATCATGTTCTGGTCTCAAACTGCACTGTGGGGATGGTGCCATTTGACCTTCCAACAAGAAGTTAAATTAATTTGAAAATAGTCCAAGTCTCCTAATAAATCACGTTGTTTAGCAAATATTTTTAAAAAAGGTCATGATTTTTCAACAAAGATAAAGCTATGTTGTATAAGGGCAATGGTAATTCTAAGACAAACGCACTAACTGATACATAAAGTTGGGAAAAGGAGCAACTGACCTCACACACCAGTGTTCAGGGTCATACCTGTGTGTTGGATGAATGGGAGCAGCCTAACAAAATTTAAAAAGTCACAAAAACAAAACGTTACACATAATAAACTTTTTGGAAGAATGAACGATGTGCCGGACTCCTCTCTTTTTTGGATTTCATAATTGCCAAACCCTAACTTATCTATAGCATTTTTAGAAATATATTTTTATTGCAAAACAGTTAAGCTAGCAGCAGCTCTACAAGATTAAAATATGACTTGTTAAACAAGAGGTAAAACACTTTAAAGGAAGCACCAAACTGGCAGGACAGTCTGTATTTTATTAATAGTATGTACAATTATACCATCATAACGTCCAGCTATCACATACTGACTTGTAGGCCTACTCTTTCACTTTCAATCATGTCTTGTAATCAAATCTTTGACTTGTGTCTGAGGCACAAAGGGATAAATGAAGAAATCAAGTGTTAAAAAACATCCCAAAGAGATGTACCTAGGTGTTTGGATATCTATAAAAAACATGACCCAAATTAAAATAAAAGTTTATATTTGTCCTAAAGTTGATGTAGTTGCTTTAGCCGGACTGTCAGTGATTATCCTCAGTGTTAAAAGATTCACACGATCAAATTATTTTCTTACGAGACAAAAAGAGAACAGAAAAAAATGACTGAAGTGCATTTTAGACTTCACTGTAAACAAAGAAAGAATTGTCCCAAAATGTCTTCTGAATTTGGAGAAGACTGTGGGTTTGTGTGTTTGAAGGCTTTGCGTAAACGTGGGACAACTTTTGTTTTTTTAAAGACATTTTAGATTTTAAATGTTTGCGTTTGATGTGCACATAACTGGAAGTTGTGTGGGCTGAGTACTGCTCCTAGCTGTGTGTCTTTATCTACAGTACAACCCTGGGGTTTGTCTGTAAGGCTGGACAAATGGAAATCAGAGAGGTGCAAATTGTGTCCCAGTGTGAACAGTGTGTTTTGGGGAGTGTGTTTTTGTTTTGAATATGCACAGATCAGTTCCAAATCTTTAGGAAGCTATCCCAGGAGCCGGTGCTCACTGCCATCCCATCGTCTGTCACACCCAGACAGCTCACACGATTGTCATGGCCCGCCAGGACTCCTGCAGGATAGAACCAGTCAAAGGTTATAATATAAATATACAAAATAATGTCCACAGACCAGTTTTTATATTTAACAGATTGAAAGGAAATACATAACACTAACATAATATTTCTATCTATCTTTTATTTTATTTCATTTACTTTAAGAAGAAACAAGCATTATCTGTAACCACCTAATTCTTTTTTTTTAATATGCGGCGGACTAGGCATGGCAAGTGCATTGCTGCCCCCTACTGGTCAGATGATTAACAGACAAAAAAATGGGGACAACAGTTGTTGAATGTAGTGGGACATGGGAAATTTAAGCCCATTATAATGTTTTCTACGTAAAACCTCAGTTTACTTGATTCATTTGGCATCAGTGACAAAAGTGGGGCATTCTCTAAATAACTGGGACCAGGGACAGGGGCCTAAATAGCTGTGCAGGACAACCAAAAATAAAATAAAATACCCTAGTATTATCTAAATTACTGCAGGTTATTAGTCATAAATGGCCAGCAGTTTGTTAAGTCCTCTGATTAAAGTCATACTCAGTTTCCGGTCACCCTCACCTTTAAAGCAGTTTTCATTATATACACAAATTTTCAGATCAGAGCTCACTACTCTCCCACATAAAGGTAAATCCTGACTTTGGAGCAGTTACACCTTTTTGATGACACCAGCTCTCACCTGCTCTGTCTCCTTTCATGGCGTCCCAGATGTTGCAGTTGAAGTCGTCGTAGCCAGCAAGAAGCAGGCGTCCCGAGCGGGAGAAAGCCACAGAGGTGATGCCACAGATGATGTTGTCATGGCAATACAGGCCCAGCTCCTGGTCTGCACGAAGGTCAAACAGCCTGCAGGTGGCGTCATCAGACCCTGTGGCTACTGCACTGCCATTGGGAAAGAACTGAGAAACAAGAGGGAAGACATTACTCTATGGTCCAGTCTCATTTCTCTTTCCTCGCCTCCTTCTCCTTAATTCCTCTCCTCGATTCTGGAGGAAATGGGTGAGGAATTTCCAACCACAGAGGAGACACAGAAAGGTGAGGAGCAGAGGAGGAGGAGGAGGAAACACAAGCTGAGGGTCAATGGAACAGATTTTCTTCTTTTCAAAATGACCCTGTAGTGAGAACTTTACTAAGAATTTGTTTATATTATTCTTCCAGGATTTTCAAATCAGAGTCGGACCAACATCAGATAAATGTGTTTTAATTTTTTCCTGTCAAATTCAGCATTATGCAACATGCCAAACATCATTTTCTGCTGTCCTTGGACTTGTGTAGTTGCAATTCACACACCTCTCTGTGAAATAAATAAAGTTGTATTATTTTCTCTGATGTCTGCATCTTGAACGCTCGCTCATGTGTCCTTCCCTTGCCTCCTCTGAGCTTTGGAACACTGCTTAATAAGTTGCATTTGATGGACAGCAGACAAATGGAGAATCAAGGAGAGGAATCAAGGAGAAGGAAGTGAGGAAAGATAATTGAGATGCTGTTTTTCCAACCAGGAGTATGGGAACTCTTAGCAGGGGATTCTTGGAGGGATTTCAGATTTTAAAAAGAGGTGAAAGTAGTGTTTGAAGATAAAATGTTCTTTGAAGTAAATTTGAATCCTTAAGAATGCTTTTGTAGGAAGATTTGTATTTCAACAACATAAAAAACTAGAAATAATTGACAATAACACATTTATTTCTCTAAGGAATTAACAGTATATGAGTTAGGAGGTACTCTGGAAGTGATCCACAAGGGGTACTTAAAATAAAAAAGTTTGTTAACCACCGCTCTATTTTAAAAATTCATTCATAAAGCCTAAACTACATGTGAGATGCGTAAGCTGTGACTGTAAACTCACACAAATAGCATTGATGTCAGACTCATGTCCAGTGAAGGTCTGTCTGCACATGCTGTCCCTGATGTCCCAGAGTTTGACTGAAGCGTCACAGGCTCCTGATACAAAGGTGCGCTGGTCCGGAGACAGGGACAGGCTCATGACGTCCCCCGTGTGCCCCGAGAACACTGTGGTCTGCTGACTCGTCTCTATGTCCCACAGTGCACTGCAGACACGTTACATTAGACTTACATCAAACACATTGTATAGGGTGGATTCATGTGACATCACAACATTGACTATCTATAGTTTAAAACTGAGCTGGAGAACAGATCATTTTTGATTAACTGTTAGACTGTCGTTTATGGTTTATAACCCCATTTACTGGGCCTATCCAGATGAAACAAAAATGATATTTTTTCAGAAAGTGTTGCAATTATTCAATCTCAAAGACATTACTGTTGTCAGTTGAAAAGACTTTAAGACACAAGATTAAAATCACTGTTTGTGGAACCAATCCACCTCAAAAATATTAATAATGTTCAAAGGTCAGTCAAAAGTGAGTTTTCTGTAAAAACAGTGAATCTCCCAGAGTTTTGCAGGCCCCTGCCCTCCAAATGAAATTATGACGTCATATTCAGAACATGAACTTTGGTGAGTTTGGTGAATTTACCATGTGGTGTCTCCTGAACTTGTAATAATTTGATTGTCATCAATGAAACGGCAACATGAAAGGTAACCTGCAAGAGAAAAACAAAATATCTTTTCCTTTATTGTAATTTTTCCTGTATTCAGTAAGGGGCACAACAACAAACCAGTCATATTGTGATTTGATGTGTGTATATGGAGGTGCTACACAGAAAATTTTTGGATTAGGACTGATGGCCTCTATTGACAACAGTGGGAAGTGAAGCTTGTTCGAATATATTTAGCTGTTCTGCTATTTAGCAGTTCAACAGTTCAGCCCTGATCATATAACACTGACAAAATAGTTAATCATTTACATAAAGCCTAAAATGTGTGTTTTAATGGCTGAAGCAGCTTAGAGGTCAGGTTCTAACCTGTGTGTCCAGGCAGCTCACGGCTCACCCGCACGTTGCCCTCTCGTGTTTTGAGGCAGTAGATGGAGCAGATGTTGTCAAGGCCTCCACATGCCACATAGTTACCAGAGGGGGCGTACGCACATGTCATGACCCATGAGGAGCGCAAAGGGATGGCATGGATCTACTCAAAGGAAACATTTGAGGAGTAGTTATGATGTACTGAAGGTTTAATTACAGAATATTTTGCATGTGCACTAAAGTTACCTTGTTAGTGGTGTAACTGTCCCAAATTATGAGCTTTCCATCTTGAGAGGCACTAACCAGCAGTCTGTACAGAAAGGGGTAGATTGAATGTTGATGTGTATTTGTTAGACTAAAGGCAAGCAGCATAACGCAAACTAGATCACAAAATAGTCAAAGTTCTTTTGGCAAATATGGCAGTGTCATGGCCATGCACTTCCTTGCTATCTTTCAATTTCAAAACACATATTTTACTGTCCTGTCTGAACACTTTTGTGCCTCAATTTCCCCTGCTCCTTGAGTATCTAATGTCGAAGGCAAATATAATATAAACATGACAGCTAATTATTACAAGAAAACATAAAAAATCCTTTAAATGCTATTTATAGAATTTTAAATTTTGTATTTTTTATGCCTCATGGGGACAACTGATCTGTACTGTAAATTCTGGATCAGCCTTTAGCCATAAAACTAACCTATAATATATAATGTGCTGTTGATGTAGTTACCTGGAGTCAGAGCCCCAGTGCATGGCATAGATTTTAGCGAGGTGACCACGAAGAGTGCGTCTTGTTCTCATCTGAATTCGCCCAACAGGATCCAGACCAGCAGTGATCTGCAGACAGTAATGTTGTTATTATGTGTACAGCAATGCATTTTCTTAGTAAATTGTGTAGAAAAAAAAAAAACTCACCTGTGTCAGAGTTGAATCTCCACATGCTTTCCTGGCATCCTATGACAAGTACAAATGAGGTGAACAAAAGGTCGCAGGGAGTATAATTTTGATAATGCCAAATAGAAAGATGAACATACTCTTATCTGGTTGCGTAGCTGCTCTGCTTCCTGACGAAGTTGCTCCAACTCACTCATTTTGATTGATTTTCACTGTCACCTGTCACAAACAAAATAACATTAAATTAAGGGACTTCCTGTGCACACACAAAATGCGGTGGATTAAAACAGTATTCTGTGTATGGGGCTCACACTTTATAATCCCTTAATCCAGAGACTTCATCAAAAAATGGAAGTCAGTCAAGCAAAATAACAGCCTTAAAATAGTCTTTGCCCCTTTTTAATACAAAATATGAATAAACCATAAATGTTAATCTCTACAAATTACTAAATCTAGACAGTGGCAAAAGCCATGTAATCTAGTTATGGCCTTGCCTTGTTAAAGTAAGGAGCGTAATCTGCTATGACTAAGCTGCTACAGGGCAGTTGGGGCTACACATATATTCAAGGAACAGTAGTTTTAACCTGGTACATTCATAAATGAGTGTTTTGCTAGTATTTGCTCAAATGATATTGAACTAATTGGAATCAGACCTAGAGTGCACATATTAGGCTTTCAGAAGGAAGCAGCACTTCCCGTTTTGAAATGGGAGTACAGTAACATATGCAAACCACATCCCAAACCATGAGCTGCTTATTTGCATTCGAGAGGCTATTTAAATTCACAGTAAGACTTCACGACATACAGTTCACAGTGTGTGGAAGAGCAATTAGCTACAGTAGGTCAGTGTTCCCCGGGGGAGCTGCAACCAGATGGATCACAGCTCGCTAATGGAGCCAAAGGACTGTGCAGGGCCACGGTCTCCAGGCTTAGATGCTCATTTACCCAGAGAGGAGCTGCCTCATCCAGGCACAACTCAGTCTGTTGCCGGTGAATGGAGCTCCATGGAGGAGAGGAGATCTGACTCTTCAAACATGATGGACACTGTCATTATAACTGGTACTCAATAGTTTTACAAGCTATACATCACTGTTATCATTGCATTGGAGATATACAATCAAATATTAGTGGGGACTTTGTGCATTGCAATGTATAGCCTCATAAACATGTAGAAGAAAATAAGCATGTTATTAACCAAAACGTGTCGGGCTAAGGATAATATGAATAGGTAAAATCATCAAACTACCCAAAGCTAGAGCATAGAGACGTTAGACCTGTGGGTTATCCCTACCTCAGATGACCCAGGCAACACATCAAATTAAAGTAGCGCCCAAACAATTCAGTGACAGACACAGCAACAGAGTGGTGCTATCAAGACTGACCCCACCCCATTATAAGATCACCTTATCTGTAACTTAATAAATATGGGATGGCTCCATCTGTGGGTGGAGGAGAGCGCACAGAACCCTCTCTGGCTGTAGTGCTACAAATGTCACACTCTATGTGGCACTTTAACACACTAGAACATGGCCTGGGAGAAGGCTGCTACAGTCCCCCAATACAGGACGAAAGCAATGGCAAGGCAACAGGGGGACATAAATGTGACAGTGATTAAACAGAATAAAAGTGATCGTATGTAGATTTTCCAATGCAAGCAGTGGAAAGGACAAGCCCCACAACGCATGTAGCCTACATTGATCTGCTCAAAGAGGATGGCCAAGGCCTTCCTGTGGATGCTGAGTCCCTAGATTGACAAATGTGGCTGCACAGGTTTAGTTAAAAATTACACGACTTACAGCCCCATCAGACATGTTATTATGACATCTGCCTAAACTGCATCTGTAATAGGGTGGCTACCTGTTAATTGTGCCGACGGTTCCCTCCTTCTCTTTCCCTTTCTGTTTCTGACTGAGCACTTAATATCTTCTTCACTCATCCAAAACGGGATCGCTTTGAGATAAGGCTCGTTCCGTGGGTCACGATGAGGCTTTTTCAACAAATAGGCAGTCGTAGGAGGGCTACACACATTTCCATTGCTTTAGCCCAATGTTTCTCTGAGCCACCGCTGCTCCTCTTGCTCCTGCTGCTGCTGCTGAGAAAACGAAGAACTCGGCCTTTGCTGTAACCGTATCGTCGCGCCTCTTTCTGGCTCGGTTCGCTCCGTTTTTACAGACAACAGTTCAAAAATAAAAGCATCTTCTTAGCCACTGGAAAATGGTCCCGTGTCGTGTTGTCGTTCATCAAAGATTGTCTGTGTTACACCAGCGCCCGTTTTTACCAGCGATTCTGCTTATCGTGACGTTATCCTCGCTTCCTTCCTCTCTTTGGTTTCCTCCTCCCTTCACCGACACATCTTCAGCTCAAACAACAACAGTGCAACATATGTACAACGTGTAAAACTTAACTAAAAAGACTCTCTGGCAGTTCATTTCGCGTTTTTCCACATATTTGCCAGACAGAGTGGTCGGTCACGCGGTTTAGTCAATGCGCTCCCGAGAAGACTACTTTAAATCAGTGTGCGTCTGGACTGGGGCGCTTCACAACCACACCCATCAGCGGATCCTCATTTGATGCTCGTGAGACCCCCTCTGATCCCCCCTCTGCAGGTCCAGGATCAGGACTCCTCTGACACGGATCAAGCGCTATAATCCGAGCACGAGGAGAGTGTGATGCAGGGGAACAGAGGGGAGTCGTGCGTAAAAGTGGACATAAAAAAGAAAAAGAAAAATATATATTTATCTTATACATATAATAATTATTATTAGGCCTATTGCATTACGTTAGGTACAGTTAGTAGGCTAAAAGATTGGTAAAACAAGGCCTATATAACACAGTGTGTTTTCTTTTCTGTGTTATATTTGTGCCCCGATACCCCGTCTTACTAAAAAGCTGTGTGCAAAGTTTATATGTGAGGAAATGTCTTATAGGAGATGTTATTCCTTTACCTTGAATGTTCCACAGTATGGCATTAAAATGATCCAAGCTACAGGTCAGATCTGTGGAGAAGCAAGCCCGCTCACTGTAACAATGCATATTTAGCTTTTAATTTAAGATATAAAAACGCATGCAGTGAAAATAATGCAAGATAGCTGAATCTTTCGGGCATAACATGCAATAATAACATCTTCATGGAGACCAGCAGATGCGGACCCCCTACCAGAAATGTTATACAGTAGACCTTTAGTCTACAGCACCTTCAACACCTACAGAGAGAAGAAGCACATTTTTTCAGACATAAAAATGGCCATTCAAAATGCTACACTGAAAAGTATTTACATGTGACAGACGATTGGTAAACTGCGCAGGTAAGTCATAAAGGCCACAATGAATACAAAACAGGTTTGACTGGAAAACGTGTAATTTCCAGATAGTTTTGCAGGATGACTTGACAATAACACCCTCTTGTGGATAGAGAGGCAAAGTCAGTTTAAATGAACCTACTTAGGCAACATGCATTTGAACTTAAAAAAGGCCAATTTGTCAGATACAGCCATGGTTATATCTACAACACATTTCGTGGCACCTGTTTTCAGTTTGGATCGTTTAAAGCATATCTAATAAATCACAGATTTTGTGTTTTTAACTGTTAAGGGGCGGGACCAGAGGGAAACAAGCCGTACCTTTTCTCATATTTTGGAGGAGTTTCCCTCCCCTTTTCAGTCACATGGCCAGAACCTCCCGTGACACTTTGGAACAAATAGTCGCTGAGGCGTGTCATGGGCGCAGTGTTTTTATTGGACCGGTCATCTTTTCTTCCAGCATCCAACTTCTTCCTCAACTGCAGACTGACCGCGACGCATCTGGACCTTTACGCACACAAACTGCTAGATCACGTTGGGACACGCAAAGCTGTAACATCAGGAAGTGCTCAACTGTCCCAAGGGTCGCCAGAGGTAAATCGCCCACGTATCTGTATCTATTGCTGTGGGTTTTCTGTTTACGATACTATGTTGTTAATTTTATCGAGTGCACTTTTTCAAAATGTGAGCTGTGACTGCTGATGTGAAGTATTAGTTGTTTGCGCCTCTCAGTTGTTCTCATCTTCCTGGCTGCTGCTACGTATTTATGACGAAAACAGCCTATTTTTGTTACAAGATGCTGCTGTTTGTTACATAAATACAGGAAATTGAACTTATCTCTAAAATCAGTTGAACTGCCATTTTACCATGTGAGCCACGATGACAGGGTTAAAATCACAAGACCAAGTTTGAAGGGGTGTTCCCTCTTCATTTGTCAAAAACCGGTATCCACTTGTTTGTTAATATTGTGGTGTATTTACTCTTAGAATATGTGCCAAAATTGCCATCATATAAATTACAACAGCAACATTGTGGACCTGATCGTCATCACAGGGGTTCAAAGAAAAACAAAGTTAGTAAATAAAGCCTTAGTTCAAGCAAGTGTGAATCAGCTGACTACAAATACAAGACCTAGGTGTGAACAGACTGAGCTCAGAGGCAGAATGCACCTTTACAAGGCTCTGGAGGGGGCCTGGGGTTTAACTTATGAAATGGTGACATATGTTTTCTAAGGAATGTTAAAGGCGCACAAGGAAACAAGGAAAGGTTTGGTGGAAGCTCTACCACCTGCTTGTCTCCATGGAGATGTATTGCTCAACCTGAAATGTTCTTTACTGCATGGCATTACTCTTACCTAAAGCACTTTGAATCATGTGTACGAACTGTGCAAGACAAATAAGATGTGCTGATGTCACCAGGCCAAATTACAGATCAGATCTGTGCAGAAGCTCACAGTAAGAATGTATGTTTTGCAAGGTATTATTTATGAGCACGAAACACCCTTAATGAAACAAAGGCAGGATGGATACATTTAATGCCATACTGTGGAACATCCCAGGAAAATCAATAACTTCTTCATGGAGACAAACTCCCAACCAAAAAAGTTACATCTGGCACCTTTTAGTTGGCTAATTATGAGATGATGAGATGAGATTATTTCAAGCCAAAATTAAATCATATGTTTTATGTCACAGTTTTTCTCTAATACCTCAGCACACATGACGGAAGCTCTGTGTAACACTTCAGTGCATATTACAGTGGGTGTGAGAACATAAACTGTAATGTCTGTGGGCCCTTGCCACATAATTAAGGACACTAGTTTCAAGAGCTCATAATAGATTGGCTCACTCTGATGGTCTGGATAGGGGTGGGCAATTTTTATAGAATCTCTATCATGTTTTGCGGTACAGCTGCAATATTCAGAAATGCTAAAACATATTTATAAATGTCATGGTTGAGGTTCAGGTATTGCCATTTAAAACATGAATGGACAATAAAATTAAGTACAGAAGTTCAGAGGTGCCGCTTAAACGCTTGTTTGAAAGATTGCACAGCTGCATTTATTTTTACTCAGACGGTTGTACAGATGTGGACATATTTTGCAGAAGCAGAAGTAACTTTTCTGTTTCATTCTGTACATTCAGTGCCCGCTTAATGCAATACATACTTCCATTTTTTTGTTTTATTATTATTGACCTATTTTAGTTTTAAATTGCCTTAAATTGCCACTGTTTGGAGTTATATAGGCTTTGGGAAAGTCAGTTGTGACTCAGTGGGAAGAGCAGTCATTGATCTTGAAAATCTTGACTTGTTATGTATTTATTTATTTCATCCATAAAGTATAAAAAAGACATTAACAGTGTCATAAAGAAATTAATGAAAAGGAGCAGAAAGAAGAGACGTCTTATGCTTTCTGCTCACTTTTCCAGACACTATATTAACACTGTTGTTACTTTAGATCATTTCAAACTAATACATTTAATTTCAATCACAAATAGTAATCAGTTTCAAAGATAAAACTGAAGACTTGAAGCTTTTAGATTTCCTTTTGTGCATGTTGTTTTGGTAATTTGGATTTTAAAGAGAGATTTTGTATTTGTTGTCTGTCTTTGGTGATTTGTTTTTACAGACTGGTGCTAACATCATTCACCATGTCTAATGAGCACACGCCGCTGCTCACCTCTGGGGTGTGTGGACTGACCAGAGCGACCTGCGGCATGGCCCCTGAGACCTCCCCCGAGTCCAGTCCTCAGTGTAGCTCGGCCCCCCCCACCAAAGACCCACGAAGACTCAACACTTTCTTTGGAGTCATGGTGCCAACTATCCTGTCCATGTTTAGTATTGTGCTCTTCCTCCGAACTGGCAAGTGGTAGATTATAATTATAATAGTACAAAGCAGAACTGACAGTACAATGGTGACTGAAATTAAAAATTTAAATTTCCTCTGTAAAGGGAAGTAAATGGAAAAAAAATAGTTATGCATGTATTTAAGTAGGATTAACATAATCTGAAATCATTTATGTACCAAAAATGTCAGTCACTATTATGAATGGTAAAAAGTTCTCAGAAACTCATAGTATAGCTTGTTTTTTATTGTTAATTGCTATGACAATATTTCATAATTATGAAACGCATGAATAATATGATTCTTATTTAGAAGTTAGTATTTCAAGCTTTCCTCAAATGTTCGGGTTCCTGGACAGTTTTAGAATGTGCACTCTGAATAAATCTAAATGCATAAAGATCACAGTAAAATGTTTTGCTTTGTTTTTTCCCCCAAAATTGTTTCAGTGGTTTTATAAGGTTTTGATGTGCTGGGGTGATTCAGACTAATGTGATTTCTGTCTGACAGGGTTTGTGGTCGGTCATGCAGGGTTGCTGCAAGGTCTGTTAATGGTAGTTGTAGCCTACACTATCATTTCTCTCACGATCCTGTCCATCTGTGCCATCTCCACCAATGGAGCCATAAAGGGCGGAGGAGCGTACTGTATCCATCAGACATGGTGTACAAAATATACTGGTAGCCCTTTATTATATGAGAAGGGGTAGAAAAGTAACTAATTACAAATACTCTAATTACTGTAATTGGGTCAGTTTTTGTGGGTATTTGTAGTTTTTGAGTAAATTTTTCAAATTGAACTTTTAAGTATCATTACTGGCATGTAATTGTATTAGTTACTGAGTACAGCACAACCATGGCTGTCTCACTGCTGTTTCTGCTTCTGTCTACACTTGATTGCCTTCACTCAAAGAATATGTGGATTATAGTATAAACAACTGTTTAACACTAAATAAAGTTAACTTTGGTAATTGTTGATAAACAACTAATCTAAAATGCTACTACCACTGCATTAAAATTTAACTAGTAAATATTATTAAAGTAGTATTTATCTTGCATAATTATTTCATTTTGGAAGCAGTATTTGTACATTGTGTATTTTAGCCGCGTAACTGTACTTATACTTGTATAGAAACTTTCCCAAACCATATGAGAACATGTGAAGGCTCCTTAACCAACTATAAACAGACATGATCAGTCGGTCACTGGGCCCAGAGTTTGGAGGCAGCATTGGTCTGATGTTTTTTCTTGCCAAAGTTTGTGCTTGTGGAGAATATGTTCTTGGTCTCGTAGAAGCTATTTTGGACGTGTTTGGATTTGACCCAGGTATGTTTGACATTAAGGGGTGGTTCAATCCCTCCTCTGACCACGGTATTCTGTTTTTGTGTTTTTGGGCAAGACATTTTTCCATCTTTGTTATATTTTTACTAGGTTATTCAAGTTAAAAGTGTATTGAAAAAATGCCATAAATTACACTTACTCATAAATGTTATCCTTCTTGTAGATTCCTCAGTGTCGGAGAGTGTGCGGGTGCTGCCTCAGGGGTACTGGTACACGGTTCTGTACTCCTCTGTGATCCTGCTGCTCTGTCTGATTGTGTGTCTTGTGGGGGCACACATCTATTCGCGCACAGCCTTTGTCATCCTCATCGTGGTCACTGTTTCTTTACTGTCCGTATTCATCAGCTCTGTGGCTGTCAAACCCATGAGCTTCAACATCACACACCCAGGCCCAGGCAATGTTACCTTGCACATCAATGCTAGCTACACAGGCTATAGCGCCAAGACTCTCCGGGACAACCTTTACTGTGAGTCTGCATTTTGGATCTCGGATGTAAGTTAATTGATTTTGAAGTCCATGTTTATTTTTTTATCATTTCCCTTTGCAGCTGGATATTCATTGGATTACAGCACCAACTCTATCATGTCCTTTGCTACAGTTTTTGCAGTCATGTTCACAAGTTGCACAGGAATCATGGCTGGTGCCAATATGTCTGGTGAGTGGTTAATGTACAATAAACCTATAATGTATTGCTTTCACAGATTGTATTGTATAATGCACAAGGATATTGTCTGGATAAAGATAATGTCATTGGAATGTTTGTACTATAACTGAAAAGAAAATGCCATCAGTCATTTTTAAATGTCCATTGTTGTAGAGTGATGCACATTTGACTTCAGTTGTCATCTTTTCAATGTTTATACCATCTGTCCTTAAAGGCGAGCTGAAGACTCCAAGTGTTTCCATTCCCAGGGGCACCGTGGCAGCCGTCCTCTACACATTCACAGTCTATGTACTTCTCTTTATGATGGTCGCTGCCACGTGTGACAGGTACACTGAACAGACTGATTTACATAGTGATTTAATTAACTTAACATTTCAAATAATGTTTTTATTATTTACAAAATATAGGACTTTGTTGATTCAAGATTATGGGTTCCTACAGAAGATAAACCTCTGGCCACCTTTTGTGACTATTGGCATTTACTGTGCCTCTCTGTCAGCTGCTATGTGTGCTATGATTGGAGCATCACGTATACTTCATGCTCTTGCTGTGGATCATCTCTTTGGTAAGAAGTAAATCAGAGACATGAAAATATTTCTTCAAGTCCTCACTCTTGTTTTTGCTGTAGGTTTACCTTTAGCCCCAGCTGCTGTGAAGTCCAGCTCTGGGAACCCATGGGTGGCAGTACTGTACACCTGGGCTCTTGCTCAGGTCTGTTTATTTAGTTTTAGTGTCACAGCAGTACATTTTGCTGTAAACTGATTTTTGTGTGTGTGTGTGTGTGTATTTTTAGGCTGTAGTATTTGCAGGTCAGCTGAATTCTATAGCCAGTCTGGTGACAGTTTTCTACCTTCTGGCCTTTGCTGCAGTGGACTTGGCTTGTTTGGCTCTTGAGTGGGCATCGGCACCAAACTTTAGGTACAAATGCCATAGTATTTCTAAATTTGCAAATCTATGTTGCAATTTGTGGTCAGTGAAACATCTAAATTTAATGTTACAAATGTTCATACTGTCAAATTAAATTACTAACAAGGGTTAAATCAAATAAAACCAAATAAAACCAAACCAAATATGTAAGTTCACTGATTTGTAATGTAAATAAGTATTACTGTTCTCAGTTCTGGTTTCTAAATATTTTAGATTTCAGTTTCTTTCAGATTTCTAATTAAAATAGTCATTTGTGTCTCATTTCCCTTTTTATAGACCCACATTTCAGTACTTTTCATGGCACACTTGTCTGCTGGGCATCCTAAGCTGCCTTGTCATGATGTTTGTCATAAACCCTGTGTACTCATCGGGTAGCATTGTTCTGCTGTTGCTCTTACTGCTTTTCCTGCACTACCGGTCCCCCACCAGCAGCTGGGGCTACATCAGCCAGGCCCTCATCTTCCACCAGGTATTAATACAAATGTTATGTTTTTTGTTTTAAAATGCAAGTAATCATTTGACTAACTGAATAAAAAAACAAAAATAATAAATGGCCCCTCTAGTGGTTATAATGTGTTTTTGTAATTCTGCCACAAGCTAGTCACAAGCTATCACATGCTGAGATAAATGTTGTTGCTTTGGAAAGGGATGTCATATCTATGTAAATCACTACACTTCTAGCAACAATGATGCATGTAGCAAGCACAGAAAGGATAAAAACATTTAAACTTATTTAGAACAATCAGAAAAACACAGAAGAAGGTGAAGAGTATATGTGACATGCTGTGTGAGGATCCACATGAAGAAACGAGCACCCCCTTAGCCCATCTTACCAAAAATCTCTGTAGCCCCATCATGGACATGGGTTACATGTAGATTGCTCTATTTTTACTACCACTTTAAAGTTTATTTTAAAATATGTTACAAGTACGAAAAATTATTTCAAATCTAACCTATAAATCAAATGAACCTTGTCACATTTCCATCTGTGTTCAGGTTCGTAAGTACCTGCTGATGCTGGATGTGAGAAAAGACCATGTGAAGTTTTGGAGGCCCCAAGTTCTGCTGATGGTGGCCAACCCGCGCTCATCATGTCAGCTCATCCTGTTTGTGAACCAGCTGAAGAAGGGAGGCCTGTATGTCCTAGGCCATGTGCAGCTGGGAGATCTGGGTAATAATCTGACACAATGGACATCTGCGACTAGTGTTATCAAATTATATTTATATTACACAGTCACTTATCTGTTTGCCTAAAGTCAGCCCTGGAGAAATAATATGGCACAATGTATGCAGTACCGTCTCTTCTATTTCAGCTTATTGCTACTTTAAAGTATTACATATTTTTTGCTTAGGTAAATGTAAAATGTGATGATTTATTAAGAATTAAGATTTTAAACTTAAAAAAATAAAAATATAAATCATTTTAAGAGTAACCAAGTAACTATTTCACAATTTCAGCCCCCTATTGGCCTCTCAAAGAGTATTCCAAAGTATTACCCCAATAGATGGCAATGCCTGAATAATGGTAACTGTTTTAATGGTTATGTCTTTCTCTAAATAATGATTGACTGATTGATTGATTTACATGAAATAATGGAACACAATCAAATACAAAAATAGAAGTCTTTAAGTCAGACCTGTTGATTTGCTCCCTCCCCTCTGCATTTTCAGACTCGCTGCCATCAGATCCAGTGCAACAGCAGTACAACTTTTGGCTCAGTCTAGTGGATAAACTGGGAGTCAAAGCTTTTGTGGACCTAACCCTGTCTCCATCTGTGCGGCAAGGAACACAGCATCTCCTGCGTATCACAGGACTGGGTGAGCACGTGCTTGTATGGTATCATTTTATATGAAGATTTAGGATGTATAAATGATGTTATCTTAGTCCTCAAAGTGAGAATAATAGATAATGTGGGTTTAAAGAAAAAACTGTGGATTCAAATGTAATTCTTCATTTAATGTGCATTAATTGCACTCTGTGTTTCTGTCTCAGGGGGGATGAAGCCCAACACCCTGATCCTGGGATTCTATGACAGTTGTATTCCTGAGGACTTCTTCCTGCAGGACTCGGCCTTCTGTAGTGCCTCTATGGAGCAGGGCACTGAAGAGGAGTATAATTTCGGGGTGGACCTGCCATCACTGCAAGCTCATTTCCCCCCAGTGCGACATGTAGAGAGCCCCCGCTGGCTTTCCCCTGAGGAGTATGTGGGCATTATTTCAGACGCTTTAAAGATGAACAAGAATGTGTGTCTGGGACGATACTTCTTCCAGTTGGAGGGTGAGGAAAAGGACAGTAAAGTGGATGGATCTAACCGCACTATTGACGTGTGGCCTTTGAATCTGCTGCAGCCCGCTAGCTGTGATTATGAGGACGTGTGCAGCCTGTTTCTGCTACAAATGGCCTGTGTTTTAAACATGTCCACTAGGTGGCGCCATGCTCGCATGAGGATCTTCCTGAATGTGGAGACCAAGTCGGGCAGTCAGGCCTGGGTGGTGAATGAGGAGACTTTTCGGGAGCTACTGAAAAAACTAAGAATTAGAGCCTCAATAAAGATAGTCCCTTGGGACTCAGTAGTGCATCATGCTCTGCCTCAGGGGGAGCAGGCCCAACCCCTGTCTGAGGACTTTCTGACTGCTGTCAACAGCCTGCTCAAAGAGCATAGCTTACAGGCTGCAGTGCGCTTCCTATACCTGCCCCGCCCCCCAACCCAACCTGGCCAGGCCCAGCAGTACATCAGCCAGCTGGAGACTGTTACTAACCGCCTAGGACCAACACTGCTGATCCACGGTGTTACCCCAGTCACATACACGGACCTCTGAGAACTGTACTACAGATACATGCTATCTGTACTCAATATAACTTCAATGTAATAGGTGCCAAAGAGGCACCTGTCATGCTCCTACAATGATGTGGACTTTAACATTCAACCACTTTAAACAAATAGGATATGTCCTAATACTTGAAGACTTCCAGACTAAGAACTAAGATATGTGTATATTGTATAGCTAATATATAAATTATAACATTCAGGGCAGTGCCAAAGTCTTTTTAAGGTAAGAAGTAAGGTAGGCTACTCATTCCTTTTAAACTGATATAACTGTTGTTAAAACATTTAAATTGTGTTTGATTAAAAGGGAAACATTTGACAAAGGTGCATGCACTTAAAAATAAATAAAACAATAATTATTAATGTTTTAATGGAACGGCAGAAGTCATGTTAGCCATTATTCCTCCTTTTCCAGAATCTTCTGTATGTCATTTTCACATGGGCTCACGTAAGAGGTTTTTCTTAACTGTCGGATCAAGAAAGAGGACATCCGCAACCAATCAGGCAGCAGAACAGTGACAGCCAGACTCTATAAAACATATAAAACAAAAAATATTACAATTACAACTACTATGTGAGAGCTTAGTCCATACGCCCACATTTCTGCAAACTTGATAAGATATACCTGTAGTGCATGGGACAGACAACCACTGGTGTAGCTGGAATAACCCACAGTGTTTAAAGCTTCATCAGCAAATTCTTGAGCACTTTTTATGAAGCGGTTTACAGGTATGTGTTTAGTCATATTAGTCAACACTAGCATGGGGGCCACACACTAAAAGAAAATGATTGATTAATACATATTTTGTATGTATTTTTCTGTATACTTCTAACTTGGATCTTATGAACAGTCCACAGTTGTTGACCAATACCTGAACAATGATTCCCTTTGATTTATACTCAGCATGAAGACATTGAGAAAAATATGTGACAAAAAGCTGAAAAGAAATGGACAATGGAAAATAAGTAAAGTACATTTTAGGGCTCTGTTACAGTTACTGAAATGTTAAAAACCTTTGTTGCAGAATAAAGGGAGAGCAAAGGCTGTGGACGGACACCGGTTTGAGATGAAATGTTGATAATTAAGCCTCGTCCTCTGAAAAGACAAACACAGATTAGACCATAGACTCTATTACAGTCAGTATAAATATTTGTATTTACTTTTACCTCATAACCATATGTGGTAGAACAATCTTGCTCATCTGCAAACCACATAAAAATGTAATTAAATTTTAAACAGTATATGAATTTATTGGCGAGAGTGGTGTTACCTGAGTGATAGACAGCATGTTACAGTTGACAATATCAGTGATTTTCTGAGGACAAGAAATCAGTTAGCGACTTGTTTGTATTTATATTTATGTTCAGACCCAATTTTTGACATACCTTGTGAGCATCGGGTGTCTCCAGGAAATAGGCAAAGTGTTCAGAATAGGCCATTCCTACATTATTAACTATAAATGACACAAACACAGAAGATGCAATCTCAAAGATGCAATCAAAAAGATCAGTTATACACTTTAATGCCACACAAAAGCCATACCCAAGATGCCTATTTCCAGATCTTTCAGTGCCTTGGCAATTTTAGGATAGACGTTATGTCCATCAGTAAAGTCCACTCTGATGGTGCAAGTCTTTCGGCCATAAATCTCCACTAAAAGAAAGAGTGAGTGTTAAATAAAAATAAATGGCAAATAATAGAAAAATAATAAAAACATTGTAACATTTCAGATATAATTAACCTATCAGTTTAGCCACTGTATGAAGCTTATCTTCTGATCGACTCAACAGCACAATATCCAGACCTCTGCGTGCTAGCTGCAAGTAGACAGACTGGTTTAGTGGCACTTAAGAAATGTTTAATTAACAAAATAATAATTACCTCAATAGCATATGCTTTGCCAATGCCAGAGGTGGCACCTGTCACCACTGGGTAAAACGACATTACATTAAGATATTAGATTTATTCAGCGCATCTTTACACTACAATAAAAAGTCAGTTGCACAAACATCCTGTTGTTTAGCATCTTTATGAACTACAAACACGTTTTATTGTAAAGTGTCTTACCAGCCCATTGACCATATCTTCTTAAATCCACTTGCCAAAACTGAGATAAAATATATTGTCTGAACCCTCTCCAGCATCTCCAGAGCAGCCTGAGCATGTGCCATAGCACTGACAACCCTCCGATAATGGCCAAAGTGTCTAAAAGCTGCATGGTGCACAGGCAACTAAAGTAGGTCAGAAACAAGATTTTAAAGACATGTTTTGAATGGAGAGGATAGCAAACTGCCCCTCCCAGTTGTCCTGCTCCTGATGCTCCACCCATAATTGACATCAGACACTTCATAAATCCTCACTGGACAATTCACAGTTAGTGTTAGTGTTTCAGTTAGTTTCATGAATCATTCATCTCTTGGACCCTTTGTTGAGAGAGCAAAAACTGATGGACGACAAGCAACCAAGATGGATACTGTATTAGTACAAGTGATGCTCCAGGTGTATGTGTCATGACATAACGGCTCTACATTGTGTAGGCATGTAATCAAACAAAAAATGTTGGAGATAAAAAAAATGTTACAGTAGATAAGGCCATGTAATTGAGACAGTGTGTCACATTTTATAGGCAGAAAGTGTTCTGGTTCAAATGAATCAAGTCAACTCATGTCTGTATGTTGATAAGCTTTAAATTCACTGATAAATGCAGTTTTGTTTGTTTTACAAGATAAGGAAATGCCACTGAAAGAAATTATCAACTTAAGCTTATTATAAATGGAGCAGTTTTAGCTAGAGCCACAAGAGGGCACTGTTGTGCCCTCACGTAGCTCAAGCATACGGGCTATGAGCGCTACTCATGTTTTACTGTATTGAGCAGCCTATATTACCAGGTAACTGCTTGCAAGTTATAAGACATTATTAATTTTAAATAAATACACTGATATAAGTTTACTTCCTCTGGGTGTGTTACAACAGAAAGGTATTAAATGTAGTGCTAAATTACGAAATGTAAAGTTTTATCATTTACTCCTCATTTTCGGAGTCAGAAAACCTTACTTGAAACACTACTGATAGTATCTTAACTTCCTGGGGATGAATGATGAAATAAACTTCAGAAAATGCATTGAAATAAATTAATATAGTATGACACTGAAGAGGTTTGTGTACTTGCTTACTAAGAATGTGAATAATGCATTCATCGGCTTTTTTTTTTAATTTTTTATTTTTTTTTATTTCAAGCAATAATTATTCTCTTCTCACACTATAGCTTAAGTAGTACTGTGGTAGACTGAAGGACGATTCATTGGCAATCTGCACATACAGATCCTAAAAACTACCACCAGTCACTCACAAATACAGGCAAGGTTAAGTGTTTTGCCCAAGGACACAACAGCAGTACACAATGGTCAGAGCTGGGATCAAACCATCAATCTTCTGCTTTTCTACTCAAAGTTGAAATCCTTTTATTACATCAAAGATAAAGTTGATGGTTTGATCCAGTATTATTATCTTTTATAAATGGTCAGAGACTCAATTCTACTTAATACCACTAAAATGTGCAGTTACATGAGTGATTAGTAATAGCTTCTAGAGACAGTGCTAGATGTTCATGGGATGTACTGCTGTAACACAATCAGTGAGAGATAAAAAGATTGAGTGCACTGTTTAATGATAGACATGACGTGGGTACTTTCAATTATCAATAGTATCTCTGAGCAAAAGCCTGACTCAGAGAACACCACCAGTGAAGAGAAATACATCCAAAAACACAAGACACAATGTATGAAGACACAAGATTTGATGTAAATGTCAATGTGTTTTTCAGATTTGAACATGAAACTTCTTCCATCAACAACAAACAACTTAAGTCAACTGTAAATAGAATTGTGTCGAATCCAAAATGGACTTGTATTGAATATTGTGAACACATCATCATGTCAGGGTCACCACAATGATTGGTATAATAATAATGAAAAAACTTATACTATACAACAAAACACTTAATCTCTTACTATTTCCAAGATAGAACAAGATAATCTAAAACTCTTACGAAAAGGACCAGTATCTTATTCATGTATTTTAGCTTTTAAATATTTACTTTCGGTTTAAGTTTCAATATGAAATCTAGCTATTGATTTATTTATTTGACAACCCTGGTGTTTGATCCTGATTAAGTTTGTACAAAGACACACCTTTACCTCTTCAAAAACCTTTTTAACAACAGCTTTTTCTGAGAACATTCCTTTTTTACAGGTGCTCCTGAACTTCCCGGAGACGGCACTGGCACAGACTAGTTTGATATCAGCTGGTCAATTAAGTCAGGTCATGAAAGAGGTAAATGTCTAAGCTCCCAATGACCTCACAGCATGTTTGATTAATTAAAGGTGACAAACTAATTCACCAGAGAAAGTGTACGATTCCAGGAGTCAGCTTGCAACTTTACCAAACGCATGAAAGAGAAGTTAAGCCAAATATTGTCATCTTTATTAAGGACACAAGGACACATATTTTTTATTATTCATATTAAATTTAATTTAATAATAAATTAAATAAATAAAGACTGATGGTTCTGACTGAAGCAGGAAAACTCTAAATCTCATAATTGTACAGTATTTCCAGTACAGTTAGACATACACGGTAAATGCAGTAAAATGCAATAATGACGTGTGTGTGCAGCAGTGTGGTGCTGTGCTGTGTGGTGCTGTGACCTTGTGTTGCTGTGATCTCTGTCAGTCTCTGTCAGAGATGTGCCTAAGAGGCTTGAAGCACCAATCAGTTTAGCACTGCCTCACCTCACTAATCTGATTACTTCAACAAGGTTGCTATAAAAGACCAGAGCAACTGCATACTTTTACTATCACTTTTATTATACTATGCTTATTCTATTGTACTTATTCTCATTCTGCTAAAATATATTTCTGATTCAGCCCCAATACTGTGCTTATTATAATGTTCATAATTAAATACTAAATTCCAGGTTAAATGAGTGAAGCTTACAAGATATTTTGTTTTCAACTCAAAATCTTTGAGCTATAAAATCTTTATTATGTTATAATCATATCATTACATGCATAATTACATGTATCTATGTTTTGCCAAATGTTTTGAATACCATGTTTTATAATGTATAATTAGGTGTTAGGTAGTTAGTTATATTATAGAATATATATGTATTGTAGATGGAAATTAAAATGTGCAAAAAAATTTAATAATTTAGTTGATGTTGTGTGAACAGGGCTATTGTCTCACAGATCTGGATGGAGGGTGAGTGGAGGTCCTGTTAGCATTATGATCACTGCTCAGGGTTATACGAGGCAATAGTCTAAGTACTTAACTCCATGTATTTAGGGTAATTTTTCTAAACACCAATGACTGACATGAAGAGGCTCCAGGTCACTCTGTAAATGAATGCGTTCAAGTACATTTTTATTATATCATAATTGCAGATGGAGTTCAGAGGGCCTAAATAACTCTACAGGAAATTTATTGCTCCACAAATATTGAATCTTACCATTATTTGTTAGCAATTGTCTCCAAAAACTTGCCATATTAATCTATCTTCTATCTATGTCTTAATGTCATTTCAACTGACAACAATCACATCTTTGGGGTTAATAATGGCATGACTTTCTGATGCTATAGTGAAAAAAAACTTACTTTGGTATATTTCTACTGACAATGAATGAATCAAGGCTGCACTAGCATCTGCAGTTTTACAAATATAATCCTGACCTATCCTGCATGTCCTGTCTCCTGCATCTCAATATTAAACTACTATGTGGTTATGTCATATGAACACAAACTATTAATCAATATGATCTGCAGTAAACAATTTAAACCTGTTTAAATCTGAGGTAGATAATTTGAATCTCTTTCCACATATTGGCACACATATTAGTATTTTTCATAGTTATTGTTTATATTAAACAGTTGCTTGGCTCAAACAAAGTGGTGGCCACAGTTGATACTTTCTCTACTGCCTCCACCCCCTTGCTGTGGTGTGGATTAAGAGCTAAGGAAGGCTGAGAAGTCAAAGCTTCCATGTCCTCTCCACTCTTCCTTTCCTGGACAACTGTCTGCAAGTGATTTTTGAACCAATGTGACTAGCAGAGCCCGGCCGGTGCCTCCTCACTGGGGCTACACTGTATTTGGGTTGATCTTAGTCTACAACTGGTCAAATCTGAACCTGGATTTCACAATTGGAGATGTGTTTTTTCCTTTTTTGGTGATCCATTTTTACCTGTGATACTTTTTTGATAGAAGACCAGAGAGGATCACGACTGAATACTTGACATATTGGAACTTAAATGGTGCTACTCATACAGAACCTTGAAGGTAAGAGGTTTGCATATCTGATGTTTTCTGTTTAGTGTGATACGGTAGACAGAAGATTTAGGTCTGTATTTGTTTAGATTAATTACAACAAAGGCCTATGTACATCTGCTGCTATTTGATGCAACCTTTTGATGTTCACAAAGTGCTGCAAGAACAGAGCAAGAATATTCAAGCCTGGGCTCCTCTTAACCTATTAGTAAAAGATAAGCTATTGTCAGCATTAGCCCCATTAGGAGCTTGTCAGACCATGGTACTTTGAGAATCTTACCTGAGGTAACCTATATTTGATGTTATGCACAGATTACACTGGAGCAAACAAAACTTCATACAGATATGCTGGGAAGTGTCAATTGATGTTATTCAACATGAATTTACGTATACTTTTAAATTGAAATTCTCAATTTTTTATTTGTAATTTTGAAAAGCCGAAATACAACTAGAGATATATTTAAATACTATGTTATCTAAATATTTGTCATGAAGTTTTAATTCTAAATATCACAATGAAGGAATTAATTGATTGACTATTTAAGTCTGACTGAGAAGTCTTTGATAAGACAGCTAAAGCTAAAGATAGACATCAAGTCCAGATTTAGGTCCACGTTACTTGGCTCCAAATTTCAAACTTTTAGTCCTCCACTGACTTAATCAGCTTAAAGAATGCACAGGTAGCACTAGATTCACAGAACAGTGTCCTCAGGTCCTCAGGTGCAAGTGTTCAGACTGTCCCTAAAGATCATTAAATCCTTAATGTCTTATTTATCCATTGCAGTGATGGCCTGGGAACAAGAGTTTAACTGAGTGCCTAAGGAGACCTCCTCCTCCACACAGACAGCTGCTGCCACAGTGAATCATCCTCCAACATCACACAGAGAAGATGGGCCCTCAGCGGGACCCTTGCCTTCTCCACAACCTCTCCTTCCACCCGCGATGGGGACGTCAGCCAGCCATGGACTACAAACATAAAAGACCTTTACACCACAAAAGGAACTGTTATCAGAATAGTTTATGCAAATCATTATTATTATCATCGCTAACACCACAGCTGCCATTACCCCGAATGAAACACACTGGGTCTATAAACTTCAAACTCCTATTCATCTTTGTATTACTATCATTTCTACCATGTCAAGCCTGGGCCACAACATTTAAAATGGCCCTGGTTGGACCTTGGAATTGTGATATTCTATACTCCAAAGCCCTCCCTGATATAGCAGCACGCCTTGCCATTGCACGCATCAATAAAGACCCGTATCTGAACAAAGGTTACTGGTATGACTACACTCTGATCACTGAAGACTGTAAATCATCCCGAGCCCTGGCCCGCTTCGGGGAGATGGAGGGCTACGGCTCTGCTTTCCTGGGACCAGCCAACCCCGCATACTGCTCCTCTGCTGCTTTGTACGCAAAACAGTGGGATGCAGGGTTACTCTCATGGGCGTGTCTCAAGCCTCACATGGAACACATGCATCCAAACTTTCTGCGTCCATTGCCATTGTCATCCCAAATTCTATTCAATGTGTTGAGGTACTTCAAGTGGGCGCATGTGGCCATAATCTCAGAGGAGACTGATATTTGGGAGGCCACAGGGTATGAGCTAGCATCATCTCTCAGAGCTCTTGGTTTGCCAGTTAAACCTGTCGTAGTGATGCAGGGGGACAAAGATGGACCTCGGCGAGCCCTGTCCAGAGTACGAGAGACTGATCGTGTGCGAGGTGAGTATGAACTCCCCATATTATCTCTAATGAATGTACAGTGTGTAATTACATTCTTGTACCTCTCTCTCTCTTTTTAGTGGTTGTCATGTGCATGCCCTCTGTGCTAATTGGAGGCCAGGCTCAATACCAGCTCCTAACCACAGCTCTACACATGCGTATGATTGACCGTGGCTATATTTTTATCCCCTATGACACCCTTCTCTACTCACTGCCCTACAAGGATGTGTCTTACCCTATGTTTGCCAATGACACCAAGCTCCGGAAAGCTTATGACGGCGTCCTCACCATCACAATGGACTCTGGAAAAATGGATTTCTTTGAGGCCTACAAAGATGCACAAGAAAAGTATGAGATTCGCAGCAGCTCAGAGCCAGAGAACGTAAGTTATCACAATAAATACAATGAACATTTGGAGATTGTTTACAGTTTTATCTTACATATATTATGTTTTCAAGGTATCTCCATTCTTTGGGACAATATACAACATGATGTACTTCACAGCCATGGCAGTGGAGCAAGCTCGAGAAAACAGTGGTCGTTGGGTAAATGGAGAAATCCTTGGTTACAATCAAGGAAGCTTTGAATTTCAAGGTTTCAACCAACATCTCCAAGCTGGTAGAAATGGTCAAGGCATGCAAGCCAGATTTGTAGTGCTGGACTACAGTGGCATGGGCACAACTCTGTACTCCACTCATGCTTTGGAAGCTATTCATAATGATGGGAAGACAGGAAGTTTGAAGTACCTAGGCCGTTCCATACATTTTGCCGGCAGCACTCCTTACACAGATTCAAGTTGTTGGTTCAGTCCATACTTTGCCTGTTCAGGTATTTGCTCATTTCAAATTAATCTTACCACATGTTTTTGTGAGATTTAACGTTAGCTTTTTGTATCACAGGGATGGATCCAGTCACACAATTGTTCTTGTTCTTCTTTTTCTTTGCATTGGCGGGAGGAGCCACAGTTAACCTGTTTTTACGATTCAAGTAAGCATGGCAAGACACATCTCTTTAAGCTTCATATTTAAAGTTATAACATCTTGTTCTGGGGCTATTTTAAGGCGAAGTGGGCGAGTTGGACTCAGTTTTGGAGGTGGAAATGGTGGATCTCCTAAAGTGGTACTCTCATTGGATGACCTGGTTTTTATCAATACTCAGCTCAGCAAAAGGGTAATTATTATTTATTTATTCATTATTACTTACTGGTGAATTTGTGTTGTGAGCTGTGCATTTATTCTTTGACTTGAGCAGAAACTTGCAGATGAAAGCCTTATGAAAAGTCAGCTTGATATGAAGACCCCTCACCACTCTGTGTCAGGCAGGAGTTACATGGCATGCACTCCGGAAAGCTCAAATGTTGCTGTTTTTGAAGTAAGAACTGGCTGTCTTATGGTTATGTCCTTAGCATATATGTATGTGTTACTTATTTATTTTATTTTTTTAATGTCTTGTTTCCTAGGGCGATTGGGTTTGGTTGAAAAAATGTCCCACTCAGGTTATAAGCGTAAATAATGCAACAGAGGATATCTTTGTTATGGTAAGCAATATAAAATGTCATTATAAACTATCTACTACATGCTAAAAGTGCAACACAAATAGGGCAATATATAACAGAAGGATCTCCTTTTCCAGCTCAGAGACATGAGACATGAGAACTTAAACCTGTTTTTGGGACTTTTTTTGGACTCTGGGATTTTTGGGGTTGTGACTGAACACTGCTCTCGGGGCAGCCTGGAAGACCTACTCAGTAATGAAGAAGTGAGACTCGACTGGATGTTCAAATCGTCTCTGTTAATGGATCTGATACGGGTACTTGACCAATGTCCATTTACTTAAATCCAAAGCGCTTCAACTTTACTAATGTATGTATTTGTTGTTGATTTCACCAGGGGATGAAGTACTTGCACCACCGAGGCATTGTTCATGGGCGGCTCAAGTCCAGAAACTGTGTTGTTGATGGCCGCTTTGTGCTGAAGGTCACAGATTATGGATTCAATGCACTATTACTGACTCAGAACATCTGCGAAGATGATGAGAAACCTGAAGGTGAGCCATCCATCAATGACTGTTGCAGCCCTTTACAGATGCCACAAATGTACAAATACTTAGTTGGAATTTTTTCTTTATTTTTAGATATGTTTTGGACAGCTCCTGAGTTGCTTCGTAATGCAACAGCAAGGAAAAGAGGCACCTTTCAGGGAGATGTTTACAGCTTTGCCATAATTATCCAGGAAGTTATTAGCCGCTCTGCTCCTTTCTGTATGCTTGACATGCCAGCTACAGGTAAGCAAACCAACAGTAGAGATACCCTGCAGATAAATGCTGATACAGCACAAACTTTTATGCTTTTGTCCCTTGTGACGACAGAAATTATCAACAAGATCAGAGAGCCTCCACCATTATGCCGACCAACAGTGTCTGTGGATGAGGCTCCGCTGGATGTGATTCAGGTGATGAAACAAGCCTGGAGCGAGGAGGCAGAAAAAAGACCAAACTTTGAGGAAATATTCAAGCAGGTAAATAACAGATGTATGCGGCTAGCTGATCTGACAGTGGGTTTAAGAACATGATAACATGTCAATCAGTTCATTTTGTTTTGTTTTGTTTTTTTTTTAGTTCAAGAACATCACAAAGGGAAAGAAGACCAATATAATTGATTCTATGCTACGCATGCTGGAGCAGTACTCCTCAAACCTGGAGGATTTGATCCGAGAGAGGACAGAGGAGCTAGAGGTAGAAAGACAGAAGACTGATAAGCTGCTGGCTCAGATGTTGCCCAAGTGAGTCTCTAACTGCCTTCCAATTGGCCATATCAAATACAAAGTGTTCAGTATTTACATATTCAGTATGGCTGACAGTATAATTGTTTAATGACATGGGTGTATCTCTTAGGACTGTGGCTCAGGCTCTAAAACTGGGCAAACCCGTAAAGCCAGAGTATTTTGATGAAGTTACATTGTACTTCAGTGATATTGTGGGATTCACCACTATCTCAGCTCTGAGTGAGCCCATCGAGGTAGTTGATCTTCTGAATGACCTCTATACCTGTTTTGATGCCATCATCGGTTCACATGATGTCTATAAAGTAAGTGGAATCCTCTGTGGTCCTTGAGCTCTCTATATTTATAATTCAATCATAACCATTTTGTTCATGTGATTTTTCAGGTGGAAACTATTGGAGATGCTTACATGGTAGCATCAGGGGTCCCAAACAGAAATGGAAATCGTCATGCAGCAGAGATGGCCAACATGTCTCTGGACATCTTACACTGCATTGGGACATTCAAAATGAGGCACATGCCTGAACTCAAAGTTAGGATTCGAATCGGCCTCCACTCTGGTATGTATCAAGCATTAAATTTGTTTTAGTTTATTTTTGTAAAATAAAGCCTCATGTTCCAGAACTAAGCATTCTGAGCATTGCACCACACAGTTTTAATTGCTAAATTTTGAAACAGGCAGTGAAATACTCAAAATATCAGTTAAAATATATCAAAGTGAGAAGATTGTTCCACGGGAATGGCTAATGCAGTTTCTCAAGCTGCTGAGGCAGTGGGGTATTTTTACTTCCTTTATCCACGTCTGGAAACTATTCCTGGGACACGGAACGTTATCCACTTAGTGTTGGTGTCATCCAATTAACACACTGTGCAGTCTATTTCATATTCTGAAACCATATGCCCACTACAACAAAGATTTTATTTAGAAATAAGGTTTGCCACTACATACACACACACACACACACACACCATTTATCTATGCACGCTGCATAGATACACAGGCCTTCTACAGCATATACATATAAACAAATATGGTTTGATGATGGTATGGGACTGGATCTTGTTCCTTTTGTCCCCTTCACTTAACAGTAATCTCCCTATCAAAAATCATATAAATAATAACAGGAGCCCATGTATTCTGTTTCAGGCCCTGTGGTAGCTGGAGTAGTGGGTCTCACTATGCCACGATACTGTCTGTTTGGGGACACAGTCAACACTGCTTCACGAATGGAGTCCACGGGGTTGCGTGAGTATCTGAACGCTACATTTATAGAGTGACCGTCTCTAATAGTATTTTAATCCAAAAAGTTATAAAGCTGCGCCCCCTGCAGGAGAGCATATGTAAGGGTTGTATATTTGCTTAAGGTTAAACTGGGCGTGCACTTCGTACTAATCTTTTAAGGCTATCAGAAGAATTAAAGCGCAATCTGAAGTTTCTTTGAACTGTTTAGTAACCCCCACCCCCATTTTACAAGTTTACATTTAACACCAATTACAGGACAATGCTAATTTAGCCACAAATTAGATACAAGATATTAAATATATTTTATTTACTTTATTTGGACTCTTTAACGTGAACAGATTTTTAAATTAAGAGGTAATAGTAATTTAGCATAGTGTGAAGCATTGGCACTTAGTGGATGATTGTGAATGTCAGCTATCTACTAATTTTAAATAGTGATTGATAATTTTTGTTTGTAAAAATAATAACAACAGATTTGTATATATTGGCAGCTTATCGGATTCATGTCAATCAGAGCACAGTTGATGTTTTGAAGAGCTTGAAGCTGGGATACAAGATTACCACAAGAGGCCTGACAGAGCTAAAGGTAAAATCAATAAACATGCTTCAGCATCATATTTATCATGTGCACAATGTCCTTGTGCAGCACCTCTCAAATGCAAATATGTTTGTGTTCAGGGGAAAGGTGTTGAAAACACATACTGGTTAGTCGGGAGAGAGGACTTTACCAAACCACTGCCTATTCCACCAGACCTTCAAGGGTACGTGCGCTTTCTATCTGATGTCTCCATAAGTGTGTGTATATGATCAAACCAGTACATTTACATCATAATTCTTTGTTACAGGGGAAGTAACCACGGTATTAGTTTAGAGGAAATACCAGTAGATAGACGGCAGAAATTTTTGGATCGACAAAAGAAGATGGGGTAAACTGACAATGACTCTTTTTTATAAATGAGTGTCCCCACAAACTCCAGGACAATGTGTGACTGCATGTGGAGGACATCATGAAGACAAGTGCATCAAGACACTTGTCTTGATGCACCCCCCCCCCTCCCCCAGATTTATACTGTGTGATAAGTCTGTAGTTGGTACAAGTACACAAGAACTTTACATAAACATATCCATTTTATTTTTTAACTATAATCAGTGAGAGTTAAACAGTCCATACATTCTTTTTGGATACAGTGTTCTTGTTTTTCTTTCCTAAATGACACCTTTACGAGTGAAACCCCTGGTACTGTCACACATACAGAGCCTTCTGCTGTTCAGTACAGCTGGACAGTAAAGACATGGAGTTATCTTCTGTTCTTCTAAGCCCAAAACTTGTGAAGAGGCATACTTATGGACCAAGGAGCAGTTTTCATTGAGCCTCCACGCCTTGGGGAACTCTGTATTTAGTTAGTTTGTTTTGTGCCCTGCAGAGGTTGGGTGCTCCTACAGGAGTATTTTCTGCTTGGTTTCCCTTCACTCCAAACACAAAGGGTGTCCTCAGCTTAACAGGAGACGTGGCTACATTGAGCTCAAAGGGGATTTTTCTGTTTAAGACATGTCCCACTCTGCTATGGCATCACTAAAGGCACTGTGGCACTGAAGCAAGCAACAAGAATGTGTCAGATTTTTTAAAGACAGAATCATTTTAGTTTTTTCTTTCCTTTTTTCTCTGGAATCATTTTGTTCTTCTTGATCATGGGCACTGCTTTTCCGGAATCAAAAATGACCATATTGATTTGTAAGTGACACAGCAGTCATTGGTAAATAACAGATACAAAGGCAACACCAAGAACATGCATCAATACAATTAAGTTTGAAATGATTATTAACGTATATAATTCTCTCTAGGGTCTAATTCAATTTGCCAAAGAGGTAATGCTTCTGTATATAAATTGACTGAAATGGATGATGATCTGTAAATAAATACTTGTTATAGTGGAAATTATGTGTTTTTGTACTACTCAGAAATGGTGTGCAAAAATTGATCTATGTGAGCCCAGTCACTTAGATTACCCATAACAACAACCTATCACTGAGAGAGGTAATTGTTATTTTTGACACTTGCAAGAGGACAATTGGATCACTGGAAAGGTTGCTGTAACATTAGTTAAAAAAAAATGTTATTCATGCTCCATTTATTTCTAACGTGGGCAATCTTCCAAAGTCAATAAGCGACACAAAACTGTTGATTCAAAGTAGAAGTAAGGTGTTATTTTAGTGCAGCCAATTTATTCTTGAACAACATGTAAACATAAATATGTGAGTTTTTACAAAACAGGACTGAGAAAACATTTTGTCTGGCTGAAATGTGTATTGCGATAAATAAAGTCTGTCTATATAGTATTTACTTCAGAAGTGACCAGTGGGACCTTTACGTATGACCCCCATGATTTACTATTGCTTTTCTTGTGTCTTTGCGCACACGGTGCAACACCCAGCGCGTGAAAGTCCACATACCACACAGGCCCTGTGTATGCGGCGAACACGGTGTTCCTCTGCGCAACCCCTCACATATGACTGGCACCGGCTCCAAGGTGCCAGTCTCTCAGCGGAGTCAAGTTCGCCACGCGCACCGACAGAGAGAGCGGAAGTCTGTCAGCAATCTGTTCATACTGATCAATGAAACCATAGGGATATGTACAGCTTACAGTAAATGCATGTTTGGTGGGTAGGCCTATAGTCAACTTAGTTTGTAATTTAATTAATAATTTTGAAGGAACACTACAGGATAATTTATACACAAATTATATTAAAGTAAAGAATTGCTACTACTCTAGATTGAAGATTTGCAATTATTCACAATAAAAAAACAGTCGTGTCATTGTAATCTCATTATAGATCTACAACAGACATATTTGGGATCACATTGGTTTAATTACTACATGGTTGAGAACGCATAGAAACAAGCTTTATTTTGAAAGGACACCCGGAAGCGCCATTATACCTGCTGCGTTTCACTGGCGCTCGCACAGACTGGGCATCCTCAGAGTCAGACAGGTGGAGGAGACCGCACGGTGAAGGACTGGGCTGGGCTGCTGGACGAGCACCGTGGACGCCGCGTGGACGGTCTGGTGGCGGTGCGCGGACCCTTTATGCCCAAAATGAACCCCTCGAACTTGCTCTGGTCCGTTTTCCCGTCATATGGACTCCTGGATGTGGGCACGAGAAGGACGAGGGATGTAGCTGATTCCTGAGGGCACCGCGTGGACTGTGGCGTTCCTGGGTGAATTTGATCGGCTTGTGATCGTCTCGTTCCGCCTTGGCTATGGAGAACCAGGCAGCCGAGCAGCACAGCTATGAGGACGTCCAAAAAAGCGGCTATCTCCGCAAACATAAATCAATGCACCGGCGCTTCTTCGTGCTGAGGGCGGCCTCGGAGCGTGGTCCCGCGCGCTTGGAGTACTATGAAAACGAGAAGAAATTCCGCAGTAAATCACCAGTGCCCAAAAAAGTGCTCAGTCTGGAGACTTGCTTTAACATCAACAAGCGGGCAGATTCCAAAAACAAACACATGATAGTGCTTTACACCCGCAGTGAGAGCTTTGCCATAGCGGCGGACAGCGAGGAGATCCAAAACGAGTGGTACCAAGCGATGCTGGACCTTCAGTGCAACTGTAAGATTCACAGCTGGGATGTGGTCGGACTGGATGGTTTTGCACGAGGCCTGACCTGCTCCAGTCTGTTTGTGCTTATAATGTGTCAGGCATCTAGCCTTATTTCACCACCATTTACAACGTGGCTCCATTTTATGTGAAGCATCCTCTGTTTATTCAAAACTGTGAAATTTGGACAGTGTGGTTTGGTTCGGGGCATTGGGTTCATTAACCCTCCATGCTTGAGCGCAATATGCACCATTTGCATGAATATATTTTATTTTATTTATTTGCACTCGATTTTGTTCACTCGGTGCCTTAAATGGCATTGCTACATGTTGAATAGCAGCTTGTTTTTCAGTGAGGCACATCCCATTTGCTGTGACGGTGTATTTTGCATGGCGCAGTGAGCATATAGCAACCATGCGAGGGACGCATCATATAGTAGTAGCCTATCGCGGTGCACTCCGCCGGAGCCGTGTTGTTGTTTTTCTGCACAGCTCTCTCTCTCTCTCTCTCTCTCTCTCTCTCTCTCTCTCGCTCTAGCTACGTTCGCCTAACCTACATTCGCGCTACACGCCGCTGCTAGGCAGGCGATGGCATCGCCAGTGCGCCTTCTTAGTAAAATTGCATATCGTTTTAAATAGTCCGGTTTTTACATTGTTATCCTTCGGATGAAGTAAAGCACCAGCGCCCACCCTCCCTGTTTTGACTCGTGCGCTTCTGTCAGACAGATAGGGCTTACCCACTTCGCGCGCGTTATGGTGTGATCTTAGAACTGAAGCGATGGAGGGAGCCCCCCATTTTATTCACGTTTCCCTTTCACGAATAACTGGAATAAATAAAATATATTGTCAAATTGCGCATGTGCAAGATATATTTATTATTTCAATTCCATTGTGTCTAGCCTATCAAATTGTTATTTACACGAACTTACGACTGGCATTGATATAGCAGCCAATGGCAAAAGTAGCCTTTTATTTGTATAACATATGATGGATTATTTGATAACTTTTTAATTGCTTTATCATTTTTATCATTGCTGTTCAGTACATTAATATAATTTATTATTTCCCCCAGGCAAAACTCCAGATGACTATGGCAGTAGTGGTGAATGCAGCTCACCATCTCCGATCCCAACCTTTAAAGAAGTATGGCAGGTTAAGGTGTGGCCCAAAGGTCTTGGACATGCCCGAAACCTGGTGGGCATCTACCGGCTGTGCCTCACCGACAAAACGGTCAACTTTGTCAAACTCAATTCAGATGTGGCTTCTGTGGTGCTGCAGCTAATGAACGTGCGCCGCTGCGGTCACTCAGAGAACTTCTTCTTTATAGAAGTGGGCCGCTCCGCCATCACTGGTCCAGGGGAGTTCTGGATGCAGGTGGACGACTCTGTGGTGGCTCAGAATATGCATGAGACCTTGCTGGAAGCCATGAAGGCCTTAAGTGAAGAATTTCGCCAGCGCAGTAAGTCACAGTCTGTGGGGACATCATGTGGGACTGCCTCTAACCCCATCAGTGTTCCCAGCCGTCGCCATCACCCAAACCTTCCCCCCAGCCAGGTGGGTTTCTCCAGGCGTGCCCGCACTGAGACACCAGGTAGCAGCACAAGCACTTCACCCACATCTCGCTATGGCTTCCCTAGAGCCAGGACAGCCAGCATTGGGGCACGCTCAGAAGAGAGTGGAACAAGTGGCAAAGGAACATGGGCCAGCTCAAGCCCAAGCCTTAATGGATCTTGTTCAACTACACCCACATTGAGGCCCAAACCCACCCGGGCACCCACTCCTGCTAAAATCACCCTTAGCCTCGCAAGGTACACCCCTAACCCAGCGCCCTCCCCTGCCCCCAGCTTGTCCTCCAGCTCCGGCCATGGCTCTGAGTGTGGACTGGTGGGGGCAGCGGTGGGAGGCATGACAATCTGTTCTTACCCTCGGGTCTCTCAGAGAGTGTCTATTTCAGGCTCCCCCAGTGATTACGGCTCCTCTGATGAGTATGGCTCAAGTCCTGGGGAGCACTCTTTGCTTGTCCCAAGTTTGTCTGGGCATCATGGCGAGGGAATGTCCAGCTACATTGTCATGGGGCACTCCCATCATCGCTCCAAAGGCCGTAGGATTCTGCGGCGATCTTCAAGTAGAGAATGTGAGGCAGAGCACAGACTACTAAGTAAAAGATCTTCTTTACCTTTAGCGTCTCATGAACGGCTCACTCCACACCGCAAAGAGGAGGAAGATGAGGATGAGGAGTACACATTCATGTCTCAGTGTGCAGACAGGGGGGCTACAGGGGAGAGTAAGAAAAGGGGAGAGAAAAGCCAGGGAGCTGTGGCTGGAGCCTTGGATAGTGGCTACATGTCAATGCTGCCTGGTGTCTCAACTCCTCCAGTGTCTCTGTCTCTCGGTATGGGCATATCTGATAAAGGAGGGGACGAATACATGGCAATGACACCCAACAACAGTGTGTCTCCCCCTCGCCACATGCGACAGCCCAACACAGAGGGCTACATGCTCATGTCTCCCAACAGCAGTAGCTCCACAGATCTGCCTGGGCTGAGCATGTGGGAGGGTAGGGACAACACGGAGAGTCGGACACAGACCAACTATATGAACGTGTCTCCTGTTAGCAGCCGCTCTGCCTGCAACACCCCCCCCTCTCATCCCGAGCAAAACCAAATGCAGCCAAAAATGTTCAATTCTTATTTCTCTCTTCCAAGAGCCTATCAACATACTCTTTGTACTCGCTTTGAGGATGACTTGAGCAAGAGGGGGAGAAAAAGGACAGCAGTGTTGATCACACTAGTAGAAAAGGTGCCATGGTGTTTAGTAAAAGGAACAAAATGACAGTGGGCCCAGCAGGAGGCTGCCAACTCTCTATGTCTTCCTCCTCCTTCTCCTCCAGTTCAGCCAGCAGTGAGAGTCTGGAGGACAAGTCCTTATCAGCAGGGCGAGGGCTGAGTCTTTTAAGGACAGGTGTAGAGTACAAAAGTGCTGGAACAAGCACGAAGGATGGACATCACCCAAAACGTGGCTCAAGTAAGAGCCCAAAGCAGCAAAGAAGGAGTCGTCCTCTGAGTGGATCGGACTTGTTTAAAGCAAACACCCTGCCTCGCGTCAAAGAGAACCTGCCTCCGAAAATGTCAAAGGGCGTGGGGGAATATGTGAGCATTGTGTTTACAGAAGACAAGTACAGTGTACATCATGAAGGCACACATCATGGACACTCTGTCATACACGGCACCCTGCGTCCTGTGAACCAGCCCCTTCTTTGTCATAATAACATGGCCAACCTTCCCCGCAGTTTCTCAGCTCCTCTTTCTGTCCCTGCAGAATATGTTAGCATGGACCTGGGGAAGTCCTCCACAAACACTATTCCTGTCAGGTCCACTTTCAACACCCCCCAAGGCTCTCCATCTACGACCCCAAAAGTCAAACACACTACGCCTTCTCCTCTGGCCGCTGAGAGCAACCTTGGGTACAGGCCAGGGATGCCCTCAGTGGAGGCGTCCAGTTTGAGCTTTTCTCCCGTGAAATCTGTGAAGTCTCCGGAGCGGGGCAGTCGGTTGGTTCGTGGCGACACACAGGGACGTTGTAGCCACCATGCAGACAAGTTTAACTCTCCTCCATCACACCCGTCTCCATCTTCTGCCTCCCATTTTCCAGAGGGCAGCCAGCCACCCAGCCATCGACACCTGGACTGCTCACAATGGGATAGTGGCCAAGCACCTGCTGCAGCACCACAAGTCTCAAGCTCATCTGCACAGCAAGGCCTTAACTACATTGACCTTGACTTGGCCGTTAAAGAGAGCCCTCAGGCCGGACCCTACAACACAGGAGGCAGCAGCATTGGCCCCAGCCTCAACGCTTATGCCAGTATTGATTTCTACAAGTCCGAAGAACTGAGAGCACACCAGAGCAGTAAAAAGGAAGGTCAAGGTAAGTGCCACACAGGGATAAAATATCAAATTGTCCATAGTATATATGCCACACCTTGAATTATCAGTTTGCCCTGTTCATAGGAGACACTCTAGGTTTTTATCGCCTCTATAGTATTTCATTTTCTATTTTGACACTTTGATTGCAAGTGTTGAGACACAGTTACAGTGACAGTAATAATATAAAAAAGTGCTTAGGCTGTGATTGTGATTTAATTTTTAACATAAACAATCTTGAATGTGAACAGTCTTCTGACAATAAAGGTATTAATAACTTTTGTCTATTTTTTAAAGGTTTTATTTTAGCTCATTTTACATATACATAGAACCACTTCATTAGTTTGATGATGTGAACAAAATATGGATTTAATTTATTGAGTTTAGTTGTATTACATTTGTTTGAGGAGCACCTGTGCCTGTAGCTGGTTGTGTTACTCTGTTTCCAGGCAGTGGGCTGTAGTCTGTAGAGACTCTTATTATCACAAGTGGATGTGGGAGAGCAAAGCCAATTGATTTGTCTGCTAGTAATGAGCTGCACAGAATGAACAGGTGCAATGTGCTGTGGTTATGTGTGTGTATGGAAGACTCCACAACTTTGCTTTTATTATAAAATGACTTATTATTGACTTGTTATTGAGGAGTAATGCAAATTATACACAATAAAATGTGTTTACTGGCCAGTTACTTAAAAATACGTATAGAGGTTGAGTTGTGCCATCATGAATTCAACTTAAACTATTCTAAATAATTACTGTTCAAACTAATGTGCAATTTATTTGTAATAACATTTAGCTAGTGAATGGTTACTTTGTACTGATGTATGATTTTAGTTGGAAGAATAATGGGCCATTTGTATTCCCTTCTTTGTGTTAAATAATTAAAATCCTTGTTAACTACAGTGTTTACCCCACTCACTCATTACCTGCTGTCACATTTGAATTAATTATTTAGCACAGTATGCAAAGAAGGCCTACTATAACCACACTACGCCTATTTCAAATACATAAATGATACAAGTAGATGTACTTCACTCTCTCAAAAGTATGCATTTTGTAATAAATATATATGAATCATTTATTACTAACTTATTTTTTGCTTTTTCAGATTGTTGACCTGCTCTTTAGTCGAATCGGAGGATGACAACGTGACAGCTCCAAGCATCACAGCCCAGTCTGTTGTTGTTAACTCTACACTGGACTTACCTGTTCAACCAAATGTGTGCCAAACATGCATGCATACAGACTTTCATATAAGGTGAGGGATTGTGTTTAAATTAACTTGACATTTGATGACAACTGGTAACACTGACATATTAAAAATGTAACAGCACTATAGGCTCATTCAATCAGACCCATACGGACTCAATCAACCAATCGCTTTTTTAAAGGGTTTCAGGGAATATTAAAACTCGTTCACCTCTGCAGTGCTCAAAAAGTTTGGAAAAAATTATAAACAGTTTCTTTTTTGTTCTACAGTATTATGTGATAATCCTCATCAAATGTCACTTTGATTTGAAGTTAAAAAGGGAATGCAGTCACGATGACACTTGTCACTGTAATTTTCTATTAATCTAGAAAGTGTTTGATTACTGAAAGATTTCTGTTAGTTACGCAATGGATTTTAATAAAAACTGAATCTTTTTTCAAGAAATTGGACAGGTAGTTTTTATAATGAAGACACGTATGGTTACATTACATTGGGAAATTTCTGGAATATTGGAATATTTCTATTCCAGTATTTAAAAAAAAAAAAATAAGGCAAAGTAGCATCATTCATATTCACAAAATATAAAATAAATCTATTGCGTAGCACAGAAAACCGAAGGACAAACTGCGTCTTAAGTTTTTATTCCTCTGCAGTATGGACTATAGTAGTATTAGTTTAATAATCAGAACTATTGCACATACTGTAGTTTGCTTTCTTCTTAATTCTACTATAGAGAGACACATTACAACAGTACAATATATACAATTTACAATATACATACAGTATAATGAGTAATACTATATAGCCTAGATATATATATATACTCTTTTATAAAGTGCCTCATTTTTGATTGTAGCTGTTTTTACAGGTAATTTTCAAATGGGTTGAAAAAAGAAAATTGTTGTTTCTCACCTGAGTCTAAATTGTGAACCTTAAAATGAACATAATCCTTATACTACCATTATTAAACTGTAATCAAATTGCCTTACTATAAAAATCTAGTTTTGTTGAGTTGCCGTGCCTACTACTTCAGCCACAATGTAAGCACTCTGTAGTTTTTTTGTTGGTCTTCAAATTGAGGTTTGGTAAAAAAAAAAGAAAAAAAAAAAAGACGCAAAAAAATAAAAATAAAAACAAATATCATATCAGTATTTTGTGTGGATCAGTCAGACTTTAATTGTCACTGAAAATGGCCATGGCTTTGAATTCAAGTTGTCATTACTTCCATTAGAACATTTTGCTGCTGTCACTAAGAATTGCCAAAAACATCTGACATAATTTCAGAGAGGACAATGAAAACCGTAAAAGAAAAGACGCTGCATCAAATGACATGTTATAAACTGCAAAAAGATTTGGTTGAGAATTGTGGTTTATGTCGGTCATGAAACATTAACAAATTCAAATGATTCAATAAAAACTTGAGTTACTGGATCTGACTGTGCATTTACAGGGTACAGATGAAAAACTGTTTATGTTTTTTTTATGCTGGTAGCTTTTCCCACATTTAGATTGATATGTTTTTATCATCTGAGCTCAGAACACTGTTGCAGAGGTGTTACTTCATTGTCCGAACCGAAAGTATTTATTTAGTAAATGACAGTATGTGTATGTTAGAAATGACGTTAGGCAACATTGTGTAAAATTCTTCACTAAGAGTCTTTCTAAAGAGGAGATACTCAAGTGCCTGACTGTAATTAGTATTTTATTTGTATTTTTGTGTTTTTTTTATTTTGTGTCATTACTTGTGAATAATTTAAACCAGCTTTGGAAAACTATGAGTCTTCCACTTTAAGCATTTCTGTTGGGGCTCTACACAACGCCAGTTGCTATCTGGTGCCAAAGTTTTTGTGTGACTTTTTGTGCATACTCAAAAAGTGGCTAACAATTTTAAATTAGAGTCTGTTTGTGAAAAATGGACTACTGCCAGCAGTTTGTGCTCAAACTTCATTGCCAAATCCAAACATTTACATTTGTATTATACTTTTATAGCCATTAGTGTAACCATTACTATTTATGATCTTTTATAATCACTTTGTTATTCCTTCAGTGTGACTATCTAATTGGGGATTACCAAGATTTGGTGACTGTGCCCATAATCTGTAATCTCATGTCCAGGCAGACAAAACAGTTGGTCATAAAGCCCCTTGAGGAGTCTGAGAAGGTTTTTAAAGACTAAAATTCTTCAAAGTCTTGACACAGCAGCACTTCATGTATTTTTATTTAATCAAAATTAAGTTGTTTTTTTTTTGCTTTGTTATAACTTTATCTTGACTTGTAAAGTGGGTGCTGAGGTAAAAAAACTGACATTTTGTTAACTCTCTGATTCTAACTGTGGGAAATGATACTGTAAGTACAATCAAGATGGTGTCTATAATTACAATGGAAAGAGAATTGTATGTATTTTAAATTTATTGGAAAAAACTTTGATAATGATGTAACATGTACAGGCGGAATGGGAACTATGGCTATGTAAACTGTGTATAGTGGAGTTTGCTCATGGGGTGAGGGATGGGCATGGGATTGATCTGAATATTGATGAATCTTGTCTGTGATGTAGACAGCGTCAATGTTTTTGATAAAAGGATAAATGGTATGAAAAAGTCCAGATTCCAGTGTTTTCCTATCTCTGTTTAAAGGTCTGCATTGACAGTGTGTCCAATGTGTCCAGATTGTGTTAAACTAATCATCGTTTAGGCTTATTTACCTGTGTATATAGTCTTATTTACCTGTATATTACCTGTTATGGCGTACAATGCACTCATACAATGAAGCTGTATCTACATAGACATATTCATTTTCATATAGGCTTGTCTAAGACCTGCTTCTTGTGAATACTTAAATACAATACACACACACACACACAGCAGTGCAGGTGCTCTCAACGAGTCAAATGGATGGCACATACAACACTCAGGTTTGAATACAGTCTTCTTACATGTGGCCAAACAAAGTGCAGTGTATTTTCTTACCGTTAAAACAAAAGAGCTGTGCGTGCCTGGTCTTTACAGCGCCTTAAAGTCGAATTGTTGTGCATAAATCCACATGTTCGCAGTATCCGCATAAAGTTGAAGTCACACAAATAAAATGATCCAAACTCCGAAACGCCCCAGTGCGGTATTAGATATGAAGAGCGTATATGGGGAAAGTGAGGGTCACCTGTGCAGCTCTGGTTCACTTATGAGTGCATTTGTCTTTAACTGGACAGGCGTCACATAGTCACGTAGGCTAGTAGTACATGTTTTGAAATAGGAATTAACACCGTTAAACGATAGGGTGCCATAGCGGAGGAGTGTGCTCCCTGTGGTACAGATGTCCGCGTGCAGGGAAATCTGGATTCAGACATTGTCAGTTTATCTTCAGTTCATTTCAATGATCATCCCACATTTACTCACATTATTATTGCAGTGATATTTTAACATATGAACTAAACTTAAATATAATAATAATATAATAATATAATAATAATAA